GTTAGGGGCTTGAGTTGGACTGGGCTGGGTTGCTTTCCTGAAACATGAAGCTTCTTGACATGAAGCGTTTCACTACACATATGAGAGTGCCACTGAATGTGTTCTCTAGTCAAGCTGGCCGGACCCCGTGCCTTTCGCACTTATATTTCGCCTGATGGCCAGTGGAAAGCTGAAGCAGTATAATGAGGAGCAGACGGCTGAGGAAAGTGAGGAAGTAGGACGAGTTTCTGTAGAAAGCGATGGAGATTTTACTAAAATAAGGAGCTACAACGGAAGATAGATTGGAATGTAGATTCCAGGAGATTGTTGTTGGTGGTTAATTTGTTTCCTTTTTATATGGGAGCTTAGAACATGCTTACATTTATAGGAAGTACAGGAACCCTGGTGGGTTGAGGGCTACACACTATGGGCTAACCACAAGGTGCTCCACTCAAACCCACTAGCTGCTCAGAGGCAGAAAGATGAAGCCATCTATTCCCATAAGTCCTTCGTCTTAGAAACATGAACAGGCAGTTCCACCCTGCCTGATAGGGTGACCATGAGTCAGAATAGATGATGTCAGTAAGTTCAGGTTTGGGATCCTATAAAGAAGTAGAGACTCACAGTATATTTAGTTGGGAGTAAAATGGGGGGGGGTACTGAACACTTGCTATTTTGATTTATAATAGATATCTAGAGTCCCTAGGATTTAAGGTGACCAGATTTTAACATTGGTAAAGCGGGACAGCATTGATAAAACTCATATCCGGGCAAAATAGACACATGGCAACCGAAAACCGTATACCCTAGCTTGTCATGCATTCTTTCCAAAAATCGGGACTTTTAAAAAATGCCACAGGACATGGGAAAAATTGTTAAAAATCAGGACTGTCCCGCCAAAAGCGGGATGTCTGGTCACCTTACCCTAGGTAGTACTAAAAGTTAATACCCTAAGCTGCTAACAGATAGGTTTGGGTCCACTCAAAGGCACTTTGAAAGAAAGATCTGGTGATCTACTATTGAAAATCCAGCCATTGAAAACCCTATGGGGCACACTGTAATATATATGGGGTGACACCAAACAGAATAAGAATCAGTGTTAACAAGTAATAATGACAGCAATAGAGATTTGGGATCTACAGGGGATAGAGAGGTACATTTGTTAAAAAAAATTAAATAGAAGAGGCGGTATTTCCTTGACTTAAAAGGTAGAGAAACTGCAAAGGAAAGACAGTGTAAGGTGTACGTTATTATTATTATTACTATTATTATTTAAGCAAACTCGCTGCTATCAAGTTGAATCTGACACTTAGAGACCCTGTAGGGCAGGGTAGAACTACCTGGACAGTCAAAACCTTGAGGTGACCCCTGGACAAAAGAACTGGGTCCGGAAACAAACAGTCCCTGGGGAGATCTCACAAAAACAATCATACAACATTAAGTAACCAAGAATCCAACTGCTACTCCCTGGTCAAGAACCATGATTTCATTCCAGTGCATATTTAGAAATCTGTTCCATATTCATAATCCTCTCAATGTACTTCCTGGGGTATAGGAAGCTGCAAACTCTGGTTTTTTTCAGGGGCTTTCCTTGGTGAATCTTGTGCTGACTTGTTCCTTGCTTGATCAATCACAGTAAAACTGCCCCCATTCACTTTCATTCGGTCTGTCTCGCTTAGCCATGCCCAGTGAGACGTGGGTTAGTAACATGATGATTTAATCAGGAGGCAACTCCATCAGACGTGTGAGGAGCAGAGGACGTGTCATGTCACCATTTGGGACTGAAGGAAATAAGTGTTGCCAAGAATCAAAAAAGCAACCAGGCTGGAAAACACCAAGTATCCTAGATAAAGTTGATTATGAGTTCACAGATGTGTTGGTTTCCTTTTTAATGTTCTAGCATATTATTTTCTCACAGTAGGGTGGATTGAATTAGATACCCCAAAATTATGTGCTGTAATCCCCGAATCTCTTTGATTATAGGTTTGTTACCATTTGGGAATGAGTAACGTAGAGTCTATCTTGAATCAATCCCTTTTGAGATATAAAAGCGGTTAAACAAGTAAACCTCTACAGAGAGTCCCTGTGGGGCTTACTTGTTGCTATGATACTGGATGCTGTGGCACTTGTATTTCAAATAACCAGCAGGGTCACCCATGGTAGGCAGGTTCCAGTTGAACGTCCAGACTAAATCAGACTAGTAAAGAGAAGCTGGAAATTCACTTCTGGACAAAAAGATCACTGAAAACCTTATGACTGGTAACAAAACATTGTCTGATATAGTGGCAGAAGATAAGCCCCTCAGGCTGAGCGGGGCTCAAACTACAAGTCAGGGAGAGCTGCTTCCTCAAAGTAGAATCACCCTTCCTAAGGCATGGAGCAAAGCTTTCCAGACCTTCAGCTGTTGATATAGTGTCACATATCCATTAATAAATGAAATGGAAAATGTACCAAATATGAGTCTCGGAAAACTGGAGTCATAAAAATGAAATAGAACACATAAAGTTCAATAGCTTAGGCACTAGTGAACCGAATAGATTGGTATTGGCCACTTTGAATTAGATAATCCTGTGTATTACTCTGCAGTGAATAAAAAACTAAAGAGGAATACTATCACATTTATTGTTAAAAAAAAAAAGGCATTTCAAAATCGATCCTGAAGTGCAATGCTTGTCCGTGATACAATGATATTCAAGTACCTAAAAGGAAGGCCAGTTAACACGACTATTATTCATGTTTATGCATCAATCACTAATATCAAAGATAAGGACTTTGAAGATTTTTTACCCACTTCTGAAGTTTGAGATTTACTAAATATGTAATCAAGATTCATTCATAATTACTGGTGATAGCAATATGAAAGTTGTAAACAAAGAAGGGTCAACAGTTAGCTGTCAATCTTCATCTCCATAATGCCTTCCCATCATCTCTACCCTAGAAAGAGTCGGACATTTCATAGTACTCACTCATTCACATCTCATTTTTTGAACCTAACACATCATTGGTTTTGTGTGCATCAATCAATACCTTTCTCTCCAACTAGGCTCGAAACTCCCTAAGGACTGTGAAGGTGACCGACAACTGTGTGCGTTAACCACCTCAGCACTTGTTAGCAGTCTCAATAACCGACACATGGCAACTGAACCAGCTAAGCAAATGAAAAAAAATTTTTTTATTTGAAATACCATTTTCTGCTCCAAAAATTATCACAACTCAAAAAAGTATTGAGATTAAAAAGAGGAAATTTGTAGAATAGCTGCTGAAAGTTTCAATTGCTATATAAGTGGGGGGGGGGACTTATCAGGAAGCTGGAGAGAAGGACTTGTCTTCAGAGACAAACAAATCTGATAAAATTATCAGCCCCAAGTTCTACCGTGGATCTATCACAGTGACAAGCAACATGAAGAGTAATCTGACTTTGAAAAATAAATCCTTAAAATGGAGGTTTCACTTATCGCCTTAGGTTTTAGGAAAAACTCCCCTCAGTGTTATCTTAGAGTTTGCCCACATAACTAGAGTCGCTCAAGCAATAGCACATTGGGATCCCAGCCCTAAACTCACAAAAAACCCTGCTGAGCAATCCGAAATCACATATAGGCTAGAAGTGCCCATCTGGCTCCCTGTGAGAAAAAAGTCCTTCAGACTTCTTCATCAGAACAAATCCCGACCTGTCAACTCAGTCCTGATGTTTATTGGCATGTTTAAAAAGATACCTTTCTGTGAATTCATAGGTGGATAGATGAAAGAATGATTGGATGGACAGACAGTCACACAGTGCATTATACACTCTCATTTACTGAAAGTGAGTCCTGGAATTCAAGGGAGAAAAAAAAGTAATGGGCTTCTAAGGATTGGGCTTTCAATATTGTATCACAAAATATTTTTATTTATCAGGAGATATTAAATTACTTATCAAGATGCAATTAAATTCACAAAAATCTTTTCATGTAAGTATCTTGAGACCATTCTCTGGAAAAGAACATCATGCTTGGTAAAGTGGAGGGAGAACAAAATAGAGAAAGACACTCCATGAGATGGGCTGACACGGTGGGTGCAACAAGGGACTTAAACTGTGAAGATGGCTCAAGACCTGGCAGGGTTCATCCTGTTGTGCCTACAATCACTATAATGCCACAAAGATGATTAGGACTATGCAAAGGAGCCCTGGCAGTGGTGTGGAAGGCGTACGTTCACAGCAAGCTTGGTAGTTCACACTCATTCACCAACCACGTTGAAACTCTCTACAAGGTCGTTCTGAGTTGGAATCAACTCAATGTCATTAGTTATTTGGTTTATCTACATCTACTTAATTTTGGTTAATGATATTTTCATCATTAAAATTTAAAGCATTTTCTGCGCATTACACAATTGATGTATGTATAGATTGTGATAAGAGTTGTATGAGGCCCTAATAAAATGATTCGGGAAAATTTTTTTTAATATTTTTCATATTCTATAAGGACATTTCTCATAGCTACTTATTTTATTCTTTATAAAATGCATTCATTGAATCTCATATATGAGACTAAAGTTTTTCTATTAAGGTAATGTTTGTCTTATTTGTGCACAATACACTTCTTAAAAGGAGTTAGATTGATGCACACAATTTTCATCAGTTGCTAACCTGAAGGGCCGACGCAGGACCACACTCAACAGATCTGTGGGAGAAAGGCTGAACTGCTTTCAATAAGATAAATGTCAAGACAATTCACTGGAGAAATTCTTCTCTATAACACATGGGGTTACCAAGAATTCATGGTATTGTTTGACAGTAGCTAACAATAATAACAGCATCCTTCTTTACAAAATAGCATTTGATAAATTTTACAAACTATGGACAGAATTCAGGATGACCTGCCTTAAAGATTTTACATTTATAAACCACTTTACTTTTCTTTAAAAAACTCATAAAGATAATGCTTGATCTTAATAGCACCATACCTTGAGACGTTTTCAGAGAACATGTGCAAACAACATTGTTATTAAATGTTTTATAATATTAATCAAAATTTCCAACTCACATCACGGGTTGAACACAAGCTCTCACTGTTCTCTGGACCCAAGAGTTTCTTCATGTTTTCCTTTATTTTTTCTTTTCTCTGCTGTCTGAACAGTTTCTCCTGCTTGCACAGAGCCATACTAAACCGTAGGTCTGGGGCTGAGCTGTTAAACAAAACAAACGAAGTCAAGAACTCATCTCCAGTAGACTTGCTTTATTCAATCCCCCTGCTTCAAGTCCAGACAGCCACATAAATACGTGCTTTCTGCAGCCTTTAAACTATTTCCCAGGAAAAGAGCGAAAGCAGGAGAAAAGAATTAGGGGTATCTTATAGTAGCATGCTCTAAAACATATTTTCAGGAAACAGAAGTATGAGATGTATTAGGGAAAACAAAACAAAAACCCTAAAAAACAACAACCAGCTAACAAAAAGCTGCCTGTAGTAAACTACATCCTAAAAACGTTGAGAACTTCATGAGTAAAGAAGCTTGCTTATATTTGTTTGGTACACCATTTCTCAACTTTACTTGACCAAGAAATTCTGCCCTTCCCCTCCACCATCTCTGCCTACCAACATAACACTGACATCCCTCAGAACTCTATCCTGAGGAAATTATTTGCAGAAAATTACTTTAATGAAATGTCCTGTGTAGTACAGACCCTGTGGTAAAACAAGGAACGTCTAATGATAGACCTTTAGACAACTACAAGTGAAAATGAGACTGGGGGGGCGAAAGAACCCTTCAATTACATAACCTCATTTTCTAGTAATGGCAATAATAATTTCTCAAATATCTACAGCATGCCAAGCACCAGCTAAGAATTCTGCTTTACTTATAATAGACAAGGGGCTTCAAAGAATTCATAGTTTTTCATTATCTTTTCATTCTTTTCCCACAAATTTTTGAAGCCCCTTCATATTTTATATAATAATATAGTCATATTATACATTATTATATATAGTAATATATAACATGTAAAACTAAAAAAAACTAAACTCACTGCACTCAAGTAAATTCTAATCCACAGGGACCCTATAGGTCAGCTTAGAACTACCCTGTGAGTTCCTGAAGCGGTAACTCTTTCTAGGAGTAGAAAACCCTGTCCTTCCACGGAGTGGCAGTTTTGAGCTGCAGACCTTGCAGTTAGTCGTCCAACATGTAGCCACTATGCCACCAGCACCCTTGTCTTACATTCGTCATGTTATACTTCAGAAAACGGAAGTTCTGAAAGGTTAGAGTACTAGCCCAGGATACCTTGGTAAGTACGAGATGTACTTTCATACATAAAACAATACCTCCTGAAGAAAGAAGGAAAAATAAAAACCCACCGGAGACCGTATTGCTAAATCCCAAATGCTAGTACTGGATATAGAAATAAAATTAAAAAACTAGAAATCTATATTGTGAACAAATTAAAAAATGTAATAGTCAAAAATATCACTAATACAATAGTGTCCCTCCATCATTCCTAAAACTAAGTTCTTTCCTTGAGATTGAAATAGATTTAAGCCTTATTTCTGTTAGTTGAGTGTGTTCCTTCCTTGTAAAGCCTAAAAGGATGGAAAAGACTACAAAGTCGAGCTTCAAACCAGTTCTTCCTGGTTCAGTCGTGGTTGCTGAAGCCAAACCAGCAGAGGTCTGGATTGGTACAACATGGGTGAACAGGAAAGCTAGAGGCAGATGCACTGCATAGATTCTGCGTCTCAGAAAACAAGGACAATGAAGCATGTTGCACAGCAACCGAATGTGACCTGAAGAATTACAGACGATCAAAGAATCAAAGGTGGCAGCCAACTGTGCCTTTGAATGTATGTCTCTCTCCACAATCCTGGCAATACAGCACCACCCCCTCCAAATTATGGACATCCAACTTTATGGACAAAGCCTACTTGCCCTTTTAATTAATTCTGTTAATGGCCCACCAAGCAAAACAGAACAGACAAGAACTTTACAACTTGACAAATTTGACACAGTATCACAACAGTAAACATTAAAGACTGAGACTGTGGAATGAGAAGCCCAGAGGTGTAGTAAGCCCTTTCAAGAGCTGATGCGAGAGTGGATTATTGGTAGCATTGTAGGAGAGTGACACACATTCAAAGTGGTGTTGTCGCCACCATAATTAAACAGGATTCTACTATCATGAGCAGGACAGCGCTGGTTCAGATGATGTTCAAAATCCAGGGCAAGAGATACGGTTATGATATAAGTATGCTGCCAATAGTGTGTAAGAGAAAAATTAAGTTACTGTTTTTGAGATTATTATTATAGTGATCAAAAGTGACTACAGAGAACATGGTCCAGAGATTGGTAGCAAGACTTTGAACTGGTTCAAACTGGTTCAGTCTAAGCCAATATGGTGGAAAAAATGGTTATGAATCTGTAAGCTCTGTGTATTTATTATTGCTGTCACCTTTGCCATTTAACACTTTAAAGAAGTTTGGTGCTGGAAATTTGCCTAAGGGAAATTGGCCACTCTCATGAGTTTTGATTGTGGACTCCAGAAAAATGAAATCTTGTTCAACTTTAATATTTTCTTTACTGACCATGATGCTGTCTATTGGTCCAGTTGTGAGTACTTTTATTGTCTTTACATTGAGTGGAAATCCACATTAGAGGCTGTATTCTTCGATCTTCACCAGTAAGGGCTTCACATCCTCTTGGCTTTCAGCAAGCAAAATTGTGTCATCCACATGTTGCAAGTTGTTAATAAACCTTTCTCCAATCCTGAAGCCTTGTTTATCATTGTACATTCCAGTTTGTCAGATTATTTCTCAGCAAACATAGAATAACTATAGTGAAAACATCCAACTTTATACACAACTTTCCATTGTTTCAAACCATCAACTATCCTTTGTTGTGTTCCAACATCTGCATCTTGGTCTGTGCACAGGTTCCACATGAGCACAATTAATTTGTGGATTTACATTCTTTGTAATTGTGTCCATAGTTTGTTATAATCCACACGATCAAATAACTTTGCATAATCAATAAAACAAGTAAGCATCTGGTATACCCTGGTTTCAATCAAGATCCTTTTGACATCTGCAAGGATATCCCATATACCATATTTTCTTCCTTCCGACTCTGGCTTAAATGTCTGGAAGCTGCCTATGTGCCCCTGCAGCCATTCCAACACTATGTTTAGCAAAAGTTTTACTTCTGTGTGATACTGATGCTATTGCTTGATTAGTTCTTCATTTCTGTTGAGACATCTTATTTTGGAATGGTCACAAATGTGAATCTCTTCCAAACGGTTGACAGTTTGCTGCCTTCCAAATTTCTTGGCACAGATGAACGGGAGCCTCCAACGCTGCAGCTGTTTGTCGAAGCACTTTCGTTATATTCCATCAATTCCCAAGCCTTGCTTTTCACCCAGGCCTTCAATGCAACTGAAACGGCCTCCTTTAAAGTGTTTGGTTCTTCATCATACGCTGCCTAATCCTCCGTCGTTATTGTTCATTGAGGTAAATCTAATCTGAAATGGTTTCTAAATTCAAGTGGGATCTATTCAAGGCTGTATGTTAGCTCTCATGGATTTATTTTTGTTTTCTGCTCATTCAACATAAACTGGCCTTGTTTTTTGCTGATGCGATTATCTCTTTCCATCATCTAGTTGAACTGATTCACGTATATCCCGCATGGAGAGGTCCACCTGTTTTTGCAGCATTTGTGCATGCACGTTGTTGAAAATAGGTGCAAGAATGATATGGGACCTCATCTGGCATCCTCTGATTTCACCAGGGGAAAGGAGGAAAATCCCCAGCCAAGGCCAGTGCTGTGAGACAGAGATGAGACAATCCGCCACCCGGCAGAGCTCTGACACCTTTTCTGATACCAACTATCTCTTCCATAGCATGCGACTTCTCTGCTGGCTTTATGAGTCCCCTGAAGTTCACAGAACATACTCAATTGAATGGAAGTTATTAGAGAAACTACCATGTTACGTTTTAGGATCAAAACCAACAGTTTCCCATTTAAAACAGCCTCATTTCAGCAATGTCTGCAAGCATGTCTCTCTCTGGTCCTGGGTCCCTCGGGTACGTAGCCCTTGGCCTCTGCTCTACTTGTGCAAGTATGACAAGTCCTTTAAGTGCTCAACAGACGCCTCACTAGGAATCCAGGTTCTGCTTATTTGGTTTATGGCCTGGGTAACCCGCCGATCTCTCTTGTGCTCAGTGTAGCTGTCTCTTTTGCCACGTCTTCTGCCGCCATGGCTGCTCTGTGCATGCAGGCTACTTGTGGTCCACAATGTGCGCCACTCATAAGTCTTTCTTTCTGATGGAGATGAGAGCCTCTGTTGTTGCCTCTGAGATGACTTACTTTATACTCAGTGGAATGACAAAACTGACCAATCTCCACATTGTATTCCAAGACGGTCTATCTGTATGCTCCCACCAGCCCTTTGGTGGGAGTTACAAAGACGATGGATACAATAAGCATACCAAACAAGTCAACTGATTCACGAAGGTATTCACATCAGCAAATAAAGGTCCCCAAAGCTTTGCTCAGTCAATTTCAGTTACATGTCACTCTAAGGAAGCAGCTCTTTCCCAGTCATATTCTGGGTGTTTTCCAATCTTAGAAGCTCAAATTCTGGCATAATATCAGACAGTTCTTTTGCTATTAATAAGTTTGTAGTGGCTAATTTTTCAGAAGTGGATCATCTCTTCCTTCATCCAGCCTGTCTGAGGAAAAAACTTGTGCTGAAGCCTCACCACTTTGGTTAATCCTGCTTCTAACATCACGATAACCATGACAGTCAAAAAAAATTGATTTCTAATCTCAAGCCAAAATATACCAATTTTAGGCACAGATCAACATAATCCAAAACAACTTAATTTGTCTTTTGTTATTTCCTGACATATATTGAAGGAGGGTGATAGCTTATGCTAATTATTTACTAGGTCAAATCATCATAAAAATAACAGGGAAACAACAGTATCAGATATATCTATTTACCGTATATTTGTGTAATTACAAGAAATTTACACTAAATGGTATGTTTTTGGTGAGAAATCTTCATTTATAACGTTAGTGAAACCGACTTCCAAAGAGAAGTTCAAAAACCACAATGAAATTCATAGGGGGTGGTCTTTACTGATCTCAGTATTAGTTCAAAGGTCAAGTAATTGCCAAGGTAACTTGTTGACCCCTGAGAACCATCAGCTCCAGTGAACAACTTTTCAACAGAGTGTTTTCTAGGCCACTCTGAAAGGGATGACAGACCATGGGGCTTGACTAGTTATAGTCATGCACAACAATAGGAACAAAATTAATCATATTTTAATTTTTCCATTTATAAAAATGTATTGCTATGATTTCCTATTTAGGTAAACCTTCCTAACTTTGAAAATCTATTCGAATTTATAATAAAGTATAGACAAATAATTACAACCATTTCATTAAAAGGTACATCTCAAAAGCTATTATTTGCCCACCTAATTAAAAATTCAATATAGAATTATAGTGGTTATTGCTGTAGCTATTCAAAAATCAAAGTAACCAAGGGGATTTTTTATGTTGGGTTCATTATTTCATGTATAATAATGTATATTGTTAATCAATGGATATTTCGCAACTAAAGAAAAACACTTACCAAACTTCAAGAGACATTTCGAGAATCATTTCAGTGACCTAAAAAAGATAGACTAGTTAGATTAGGTCAAAAAAGGAATGTATTTTTTTTATATAGTCAGTGCTATTTCAAACATAAGGATCCCTGGTGGTATAGGGGCTGAGCACTCAAGTGTTAACCAAAAAGTTAGCCAGTGGGGACCCAAGACTCTGTGGGGGAAAGATGTGGCCACCTGTTTCCATGAAGATTTAAAGCCCCAGACACCACATTGGGCAATTCTGCTCTACACTCTGGGTTCCCTATGAGTTAGAATACACTCAATAGCAATGGGCTTTGGGGGAGAGACAAACATGATCTATGTATTCAAGAAATATAATACCTGCCATTAAAATGAGATTGTTTTAAGTTTTTTACCCATAAAATACTACCATCATAGGCATATGGAAGTGAAAAAATGAGCAATGTTCAGCATGGAATTTTCCAACAAATGGAAGGAATCAAAGTTAAAATGTCCTTTTGATTTCATGGGGGAAATAAAGTTGAAGTAAAAGCTTGCTTCCCAAATTGATTTATATATTAAAATAAGTATAATGTTAAATATATTATATAAATATATTTATTTATAAAGTATATATTTTCATATTTATACATTAAAATACTAGTTCCTGATTATATTCAATACCTACTGGTTCCTGATGATTTAATACATCAAAGGAAAGCCTTTAAGGTAAACAAGCGGCCATCTAGCTCAGAAGCAACAAAGCCCACATGGAAGACGCACACCAGCTGGTACGATCACGAGGTGTCAAAGGGATCAGGTATAAGGAAGGCATCATCAGAACAAAAAATCTTACCATAGTGAGAGAGGGAGTGCGGAGTGGAGACCCAAAGCCCATTTGTAGGCCACTGGAGATCCCCTTGCAGAGGGGACTCAGGGAGGAGACGAGCCAGTCAGGGTGCGTTGTAGCAACGATGAAAAATACAACTTTCCTTTAGTTCCTAAATGCTTCTCCCTTCCCCCACTATCATGATCCGAATTCTACCTTGCAAGTCTGGCTAGACCAAAGGATGTACACTGGCACAGAGGATGTTCCTGGTACAGGAACTGGAAACACAGGGAATCCAGGACGGATGATCCCTTCAGGACCAGTGGTGTGAGTGGCGATACTTGGAGGGTAGAGAGAAGGTGGGTTGGAAAGGGGGAACCAATTACAAGGATCTACATGTGACCTCCTACCTGGGGGACGGACAACAGAAAAGTGGATGAAGGGAGATGTCAGACAGGGCAAGATATGACAAAATAATAATTTATAAATTATCAAGGGTTCATGAGGGAGGGGGAGCAGGGAGGAAGGGAAAAATTGAGGAGCTGGTGCCAGGGGCTTAGGTGGAGAGCAAATGTTTTGAGAATGATGAGGGCAATGAATGTACAAATGTGCTTTACACAATTAATGTATGTATAGATTATAATAAGGGTCATATGAACCCCTAACAAAATGATAAAAAAGGAAAAAACATAAAGCAAAGAAATAACAAAATAAAATAAAATTAAATGAAGTAATCAGAAAAAAAAAGAATGTGCTTTTCATAACCATCAACAAATATTGGACTAAGGAACTCATGATCCCATCACACTGAGAAGATTCTTTAATTAAAGGCCAGGAGAAACATGGGATTGTCTACAAGTCTGAATATTTTAGGGTTCCATGGTTCTTTTCATGTGGACATGGATTCTTATTTCCAGATGTGGCTCTGCAGAGGCCTCTACTGTCAGAAGATGATGTTAAACCTTCTCAATTGATGCGTTATGTTTAGACATGCTGTGAACCTTGACATTGAAAATCTCTCCACACCTTTTAACTGGTACATCTCATTCGGATACAGCAGTCACAAAAATATGTACTTCTTCTGAGGCATTAACAATTACTGTAAACTCCTTCCCACACATTGCATTTGTACTTTACCAGTTTCCTTCATGCTTGTATTACACAAAGGTAATTAGAAGGAAGGATGGCCAAATCTCCGCAGTTCTCTTTAGCTCTGTAATACCAAACCACGAGCCAGAACAAATGATACAATTCCACTTCTTATACGAATTCCAAATAGCAGAAGCAGCCTCTGCTCATTGTACACTATTGTGGAAAACAACAATCTCCTCTTTGCATTACACAGAGGAAAACCATATACAATGGTACACTGGAAGTTGGTTAGTGGGAGAAAATACTAGAAGAAAGATGCTATTTTAAAACACCTATAGATTCAAAGAAAATGTTAAAGAACCTAACCCTTTCATCGTCTTATAAACTTTGCAGGGTTGTTTACAATAATGCTGTTTCAGCAAAAAAAACCTGGCATAAGTGCCTGGCATAAGGAGATACTTTACATTGATTATTCCAAACAGATGTACATAGTCACATTATTTTAAACTTAGGCTATTTAGGAGTAGGAAAGAGCTTTAAAAATATATCAGGTCATTCTTAGTAATATATCCCAGTATTTACAACTTTCATTCGCTTTCAATAAAAGATAACTTGGATAGCTGATCCATCATATTTCAGTTTATTATTTTCCTTTTCCTCAAGAATCACTATCTTTATTGAGGTAGCAGCAGGACATTGGGCCTCCACTCAAGGACTCCCTCAGTGCAAGAATACTTCCTTCTATTAAATTGGCATTCTATGATGCTCACCTTTCTGACACAACCACTGAAGACAAAGCAGGTGAATAAGCAAATGTGGTGAAGAAAGCTGATGGTGTCCGGCTATCAAAAGATATAGCGTCTGGGGTCTTAAAAGTTTGAAGATAAACAAGTGGCCATCTAGCTCAGAAGCAACAAAGCCCACATGGAAGAAACACACCAGCTTGTGAGATCACGAGGTGTCGAAGGGATCATATATCAGGCATCATCAGAACAAAATGGCTGAATAACCTATGTTTTGTATATATAGTTGTTGTTTTAAGGTACCATCAAGTTGGTTCCAACCCAGAGCAACCCTAAGCAAAACAGATGAGGGCTTCCCTCACTTCTGCTGCCCCTCCATGTTATTAAGCATGATGACTTTCTGAGATTGGACTTTCCTGACAATATGCCCAAAATATTTAAGGAAAAGTTTCATCTTCCTTGCCTTTAAGGAGCACTCTGGCCATACTACTTCCAAGACAGAAAAATTTGTCCTCTTAGTGGTCCATGGTACTTTCAATATTCTTCTCTGGCAACACAATTCAAACACATCAATTTTTCTTCCATTGTCTTTATTCTATGTCCAACTTCACGTGCATGTGAGGGAATTGAAAATACTACGGCTTAGGTCAGATGGGCCTTAGTCTTAAAAATAATATCCTTGCTTTTCAATACTCTAAAGAAGTCTTGTGCAGCAATACACTACATCTTGTTATCTGTTGACTATTGTTTTCATGAGCATTGATTGTGGATCCAAGCAAGACAGATCCTTGAAAATATCAAGTTTGTCTCTATTTATCATAATATTACCTATTGGTCAAATTGTGAGGATTCGGGTCTTCATAACATTGAGTTGTAATCCATACTGAAGGCTGCAGTCCTTCATCCATGAGCAAGTGGTTCAATTGTTCCTCACTTTCAGCCAGCAAAGCTGTATCATTTCATATTGTTAATAAGCCTTTCTCCAATCCTGATGCCACATTTTTCTTCATATAATCCAGATAATCTGATGATTTTCTCAGTTTGTGGAAAGGGTATGCATACCTTTCCTGACACTCAGCCTTACAGTATGATATACGCAAGGACAGATAACTAAAACATTTCTGAACTGTCATGACACACATGATCAGTAACTGTATAGGCTGTATCATATTTAAATGTGGTATTTAAATAAATTTGATCAACCAATTCAAACAAGTAAGTTTGATACTCAGCTAAATCTGTTCGAATGAAGCATAGTTAAATCTGGCCAGTTACAATTATAATGAGGATATGTAATATTTGCTCACTGGTAATTGCTCACCAGTTCAGGAAGTGTTCTCACAGTGTCCAAGTATAAATGTCACGTCATTTTAAGGGGCATTTCTTATACATGAAGATGTATGGCACAGCGAGAGTAAATAACTGGCCCCACCTCACACAGGTAGTAGTGGGATCCTGGTGGGCATGCACACTGTGAACCTGACTCTCAGCTTGGGGTCAGCACGGGAGGCTATCCCTTCTCTCAACTAACACTCTGATGGCTCTAAAATGGTGACTCTAAAGGACACAACGTAATCCTGACTTCATGAATCTCAACTTGGAAACAAAAACTGTAGAGCCAGCTAACTTAGAACAGTCTTTCAAAAAAATTTTTTCAGAAAAAAAATAATTTTTTCAAAAATAATGTATTTTTCCTAAAAGTGAATGATAAATCATAGAGTCTGGGGAAGAATGAAAAGCTACTGTAGTGGAGGGAGGGTGGGGTAGAAAGGGGAAACCGATTATAAGGATCTACATATAACCTCTTTCATAAGGGATGCACAACAGAAAAGTGGGTGAAGGGAGATGTTGGACAGTGTAAGACATTACAAAATAATAATAATCTATAAATTATCAAGGGTTCATGAGGGAGGGGGGATTAGGGAGGGAGGGAAAAATGAGGAACTGATACCTAGGGCTCAAGCAGAGAGCCAATTTTTTGAGAACGATGATGGCAACAAATGTACAAATGTACTTGACAACGGATGGATGGATGGATTGTGATGAGAGTTGTACGAGCCCCCAATGAAATGAAAAAAATAAAAAGTACTTTAAACACATGCTCTCTAATACTATCTAATCCTTGCTGCTGCTAAGCAATCATTTCCTTTAAAGCGTATTGACCCATTAAAGCGTCTCCACACTTCACACTCGGCGAGTCACCCTGCCTCCCCACACCAGTCATCTTCCACCGAAGCCATTCACTGTAACTGCATCAACCTTTTCCTTTTCAATCGCAACGTTGTTTTTTTAACCTTTACGTGTTCATAGTTTGCTTGCTCATTCTTTTGAGGAAAAAATCAAATATAAATTTCCCTATTACTTGATCAAAAAAACTTTCCATGACTCACTACTCTC